AAATAGATTCTATTTAAAAATATTTAAGCTAGAACATTAGAGAGCTAAAATGCACTGTGTGCTTTCACGTTGATTCCAATTCGTAGCAATCCTGTAGGACAGAGTAGAACTGCCCCATAGGGTTACTTAGGCTGTAATCTTTAATGGGAGCAGATCACCAGGTCTTTTCTCTCGCAGAGATGTTGGCAGGTTTGAGCCACACACTTTAACCTTTCCATTACCAGATGAGTGCTTAACCATTGCGCCACCAGGGCTCCTAAAATGGTCTTTAAACATAAATTACTAAAAAAAATAAAGGTGGCAAACAGGCTGAACCCCTTTTCAGCAAGCAATTACTTGGAGTGCAATCAGTCCCGATGCTAAATTAAGGGGGGAAAAAAAGGCCACAGCAATCTATAGCCAGTGCAAATAATAAAAAATAAAGTCATTAAAAGATGATTTCAAAAGTATTCTTTATTATGTGATTCCTAAAATATTTCAAAAGAATTATAAAAGCACCTTAAACTCAGTATTGAAACACAAAAAGAATATTATTTTCAGCAGCATTTCAGAAGCAGAAGCTAAATTCTGGGTCTAGTCATTGCAAGTAATGGGCCATAGAGAGAAACAAATGAGGTTTAAATTTCGTGCTTCATGCTTTATTACTGTGACAGGACTTTCTTAAATTGGCTCAAAATGCTATTTCAAGATTTACAACTAAAGTTTATTCACTTTATTAGCATTTTATTCACTTTATTAGCCAGAATTTAATCATTTATATGTCACTGCTAATATGTGTTATGCTTACTTTAAAAATACACATGGATATAATGTTGTGTGTTCTACAGTTTTATTCATGATTATCCTTATTCTTCAACTAAGCCCCAAACTCATCAATCTGTGTTAATTCAGTTCAGTTTGAACACTGAAGGTCTGTTGTATCAGATGAATGATGTTCCAGGGTTAACATGATACCCCCCCCACTCCCCCGCCAACACACACACACAAAGCAAACTCACTGCCATCTAGTCGATTCTGACTCATAGCAACCCCCATAGGGTTTCCCAGGCTGTGAATCTTTTTGGAAGCAGACTGCCCCATTTTTCTTCCATGAAGCAGCTGGTGGGTTTGAACTGCCAACCTTTTAGTTAGCACCCCAATGCCTTAACCACAGTGCCACCAGAGCTCCTTATATATTATACAGATTAGGGAAAAAGTCACAAGATTCTTAGAATTCTTGTTTAGTGGCACACAGGAGTCTCTAACTAGCTTTGTTATATTTAAATGTTGTATTACATATAAACTACTATTCCTGCCGTTACTTGGCTGCTAACTGAAAGGTCAGAGGTTTGAACCCACTAGCAGCTTCACAGGAGGAAAGACCTGGCAAATCTACCACCTATTAGGATTACAGCCCAGGAAACCCTATGGGGCAGTTCTATAGGGTCCCTATGATTAGGAATCCACTTGACAACACACAACAACATTCCTACCCTTGCAGACTTTACAGTTTAGCACACAAATAGCCATCAGGGCAAAAGCCTGCTATAGAGATAACATAACACCAGAGGGCGTTTTATATGATGGACAAACCATATTCACTACGGAGGAGGGGAAGATGATGATTTAAAAAAAAACCCAGAACACCTTTTTAAAGGCTACTACAAAAAGATAGTTTGACATTAAGATACGTTGTAGACATCTAGAAAGTGGGGAAGGCATTCTAGTAGAAGGAGTCACATGAACAAAGGCAGAGATACTAACCAGGGCAAGGTCTAGAAATTAGAGGAGTGTTTGGTAAGCCCTGTGGGTCTCAATATCCCCCACTCCAGTCCCAACCAAACAAAAAGCACATGCATATAAAGGATGAAAGGTGCTCTGGTGGTATAGTGGTTAAGGCATTTGGCTGCCAACCAGAAAGTTGGTTCAAATCCACCAGTCACTCCACAGAAGAAAGATGAGGCAGTCTGCTTCCACAAAGATTTACAGCCTTGGCAACCCAATGGGATTTGCTATGAGTTGGAATTGACTCAATGGCAGTGAGTTTGGTTTTTTTTGATTTATATGTGATGATGTTAACATTTGCAACAAATTTCCAAGGGCACTCACAGAGCTGGCTGGATCTCAAAATTTCAGGCAAACAAAGCACACAATAACTCAGGGGGCACACCACAAACCTCCAGTTGCTATGTAAGCTAACTTGGAGTTAGGTAGCAATCCTCCACTGAGAGGAAATAATAAGTGACTAATCATTCACAGGGAGCTCTGGTAGCGTATTGTCTAAGGCACTTGACTGCTAACCAGAAGGCTGGCGGTTCAAACCCAGCAGCCACTCCTTGGAAGGAAGGCTGGGCAATCTATTTCCGTAGTGACACCACCTCGGAAACCCAAGGAGGGGGTCACTAGGAGTCGGGTCCCACTCGATGGCACATAACGACAACAACAACAATCACTCACAAACTTGGGTATTTCAGTTTTAGTAACAAACAGCTGGATCAGAGGGAGGTGGGAATTAAGATTCAAGAAGTTAAACTGAGACCCTCAAAAGCCAGACTGAGTCTGCCCTCAAGCTCCTCCTCATTCAATTAATACCATATGAGAATCCTTGTGATTTACTGAGGTTTCAGAGCAATTGAAAAAAATCATAACAATAAATTTTTTGTTGGCTAGTCACTCCTTGATAAAAGCTGAGTACTGGAAACACCAGGAGTATTCAACCAAATAAAAGATGTGGGAGCTAAAATCATAAGCAAAGCTTTTGATTGACAAAAAGAGGATCAGACAACTGGAACAGTTTAATAATTGAATAGAAAAATCAAAAAGCACTTTAAAAGAAAATATTGATCAGGATTAAGTGGCAAAAAGCCACTTGATTTAGAAGGAACAAAGAATCAAAGCCTTGGTATAGTTTTATGTAATAATTTGGGTTACAATCACTAAAAACCATTTACTTATTTATTTTTTAAGAATAATATTATCATCAACCCTTCTTTTGTACCATTTACAGTAAAATTTTGGTACCCATATGAAGTAATTCACTTTAAGTGACCTTTTATTTGTTGACACCAATTATCCTCAGATAACAGAGACTTCTGGTACTTAATTTGGTAATGATGGAAAACCATACTATTACTCTTTTTTTCTTTCTTTTCTGTCAGGTCTGGGAGCATGGCCAAGGAGGGAACCTACATTTACTGAGATTATGGGACTTGTTAGGTGATTTATAATCATTTTATTACATTTCTGGTTGAGCAAGAGTGGACAATGATTACCCTTGGGAAGATTAACTACAGCATTATAGTAACCAGATCAGTAAAGAACCTTGTCTAATAGTACAGGTAAGAGTTAATATAGGTTTGGACTAGGGTGGTAGCAGTGGCAAGGAAACAGATTTAATTCCTTGCGGATGAGAATTTATTATTGGTCCTAAACCAGCTCACTGCCGTAGAGTTGGTCCTAATTCATAGCGACCTCTCTTTGGGTTTCTGAGGCAGTAACTCTACGGAAGTAGATTGCCCAGTCTTCCTTCCAAGGAGTGGCTGGTGGGTTTGAACCGCCAGCCTTCTAAAGGAGCTAAAGGTTAAATAAAAGCAAAGTTCAAGGAGAAGGAGATGCTCAAAGGAGATTACGAACATCAGGAGAAAGAGGCAGTGCAGTGTTCCAATTTGGACACCCAATATTTCAGATACTGACAAAACAGACAAAGTAAAGAAAACCAGCAGGTGGTAAGAAATATTAATCTAGAAAAATTAGTCAAGTGTTATGGATTCAGAGATAGAAAGTAGCTCCCCGGAAGAAAACGCCTGGTGATCCCCTCCAGTTAAGATTACAGCCTTAAAAAAAAAAAAAAAAAATCTTTTGGGCTAGTTCTAGTTTGTCCCATAGGCTCACTATGAGTTCGAATCAACTCAGTGGCATACAACAACAGAGAAGAGGAAAAATGGGTGATAGGGTAATGGTAGGGAAGATAAGGAGGTAAACACCGTATTTCAAGTTCGACTAGGATTCTTCCAGTTCTGTGTTTCCATCATTGCAAGGATACTGATAAAATCTAGCAGTGTTTTTCTAGGTTTATATTTTTGCGGGGCAGGAATAAATAAAGTTTACACTTAAAGGAGACAACTCTTGCCTTTTACCTCCAAAGTTGAACTCCCCACGATTATACAGACGGGATTCCCCCCTCTGTCTCTCCTCAACGATCGAAGAGGGCCAATCCCCCATTTGCAGTTGCCGGAACGACTACACACATATTAGCATTTAACTGTGATTCTGGCTTTGTTACTCCAAGTAGCCCTGGCCTCTTCTCAATTCCTAGTTTTCCTCTGAACTTGCTCTCCTTTTCGCGCCTCCGCATTGGTTTCTTCCCGGCTTTCCTGGATGTGAGCCCAGTCCGCAGAAAGGGAGACACGCGCCCGGCTGCCTGCACTGTTCGCATGCTCCAGATGTGCTCCCTCTCTCTCCTCTCACCCTCTTCCCCAAAGAACTTGGTATGGTGATTAGCCTGCGCGCAGTTACTTACTCGAGGTGTCGAGTGAAGGGAAGGGTATTCCTTTGGAAAAAGAGTAGAAGAAAAAGAGAGCCCGAGGCAGCAGTCTCAGGAGATGCTGGTGCTACTGCTTGAGACAGCCGCGTCTCGCGGTGGCTAAGAGGCAGTGCTTTCGTCTCCTACCGGCACCCGTAGAACCCCGCTGAAGAAGATTACCTTCCGGGTCAGTGTGCTTCTAGGCGGAGAAAGTGGAGCCGTAAACTTCTTAAAGCCTTTACTCAGCACTTCCGGAATCCTTCACGGACCAAGACAGTTTTTTGGGGTGTGTATGTGTAGTGGCTAAGGCACTTGACTGCTAACCAGAAGGCTGGCGGTTCAAACCCACCAGCCACTCCTCGGAAGGAAGGTTGGGCAATCCTACTTCCGTAGTGATACTGCCTCGGAAACCCAAGGAGGGGTCGCTGTGAGTCAGGGCTGACTCGAGGGCACATAACAACAATAACAACAACAACATGTGTGTTAAAAGTACCTCCTATACTCCCTTGTCTCCTTTCTCCTCTTTGATTTGCAGACCGGAAGAGTCCTTAACCAAAGTAGGTCAGCAGGCACTTCCGGTACCAGAGACCAGTGTTCCGGGCAGTTCTGGAAGAAGAGAGGCAGCGGCGGTGGCAGCTGGAAGATGAAGAAGGAGCATGTGCTTCACTGTCAGTTTTCCGCGTGGTATCCGCTATTTCAAAGCCTCACCATCAAGAGGTAAAATGGGAAGGGTTACCCCGGGGTGATAGGCAAACGGGAAGTGCGACATTTGGAGCGAATCCCTTCTTCATTAAAAAATGCAGATCGTATATTGACTGGATAGGAGCGACAGTGCCGAGATTTCGGCTTCTAATGGTGTTAGAAGTGGAGAGATCAATGGAAGAGATTAGTATTTGCCATGCGCCCCGTTGTGTGTAACAGAGTGTGTTAGAGGTGTAAGGAAGGTAGGTCAGAATTGAGTTAGGGTCGGGGACGGAGTGAGTAGTGGATTAACCTAGTTCAGGTTTGAGAGTTGTAACTTTCACCATTACTCCTTTTAACATGAGAACATAAGCCAGAGAGGCAAGATAATTAAGAGATAATTAGGTAATCTGGGCTTTGCTGCTGACTCGCCAAGTCGCTTAACTGCTTTTAGCCCCAGTAAAACGAGAACAATGATACTGAATCTTCCTCCTCTTAGTGTGTTGACAAGCTCCAATGTGATGATGTATGTGGAAAGCATTAGTATACTTACATATTGCTAGGGATGGTAATGTGCAGTGAGAGACCAATATACAAAAGGAGTGGAACAATACTAGTTTCCTAGTTCTCTGGTCTAGAAAAAGGTAGCCATCCTGGGGTTTGCAGGACAAACAGAGGATTAACTGTTTCGCCCAGTCATTCAAAATAATGTAGGCAAGGCAGCTAGAAGAAAACCTCCAACGTTTCAAAAGCAGTCATAGCATCTGTTACATGATTCAAGACTAGGCTTTCACTCACTAAGAGGGACAGATCAAAGAACTGGGTTTCTATGGATAGAATCTTCTGTAGTTTATCCTCTCCCCCTTTAGATCTCTTCTTTTCCCTCTGGGTGCACAGAGTAAGTACAGAGAAGACTGTTTTGAAATCCTTAGGAATTTGAAGAGCACCTGGAGGTTTACAAAAACAGTTCTGTCCCATCATGTTATTCATAGATAGAATCCATTTTTAGTTACCCATGGTGTAAGAGAAGGTTGGGCAACTCAATGGAAGATAACCTTTGCTTTCAACCATGGTAGAACCAAACCAAACTCACTACCATCAAGTTGATTCTGACTCATAGCGACCCCTTTTGGGTTTCCAAGGCTGTGAATTATGGTAGCAGACCGCCGCATCTTTCTTCTGTGGAGCAGCTGGTGGGTTGAACCGTCAACCTTTCCATTTAGCAGCCAATGCTTTAACCACCACCAGAGCTCCTAATGATGGTTGAAGTCACACCAAAAACAAAAGGAAGAGCCCCAGCAGCAACAATAGTGGCAGTGTATATTACCTTCCAGCATATTCCAATCACTCATTACTTTACATAATTAAAAGTAGGCTTTAGATTTGAGGTGATGCTGGAATTATTTCTTTAGTGTGGATGTGACAGAAGGCTTATTGGTGAACCTGTCAGACATTTTAACTCTGAGTATGCTTAAAACTGGCATTTGATTTGTACCTTTTATAGCCTGTAACACAGTTTGTCTTTGCTTTCAGGACTAAAGCAAAGTTAATGGATTCAGGAGTTAGATATCTGCCTGACTTTGAATTCTGGTCCTACCAGCATCTTGAGCACATTGCTTTTTCTGCTGAGTCTCATCTGGAAAACTGAGAAAAATATTAGAATTGTCATGGGAATTAACTGAGATAAAGCATTTAAAATGATGGCAACTATTTGTGGCATATAGTGACACACAAAAATGTTGCTTGTTAATTCTATTTTTTATTTAATCAAAGCCCCATGGAAGCACAGTAATTTTTAGTTCACTGGAAATGTGTACTGTTCATAAAAAAGTGGGAGTAAAAAATAAATAAACAGGTGTTGCATTTTTTGGTACTACTAATTAGTCTACAGCTAAATTGTGTAGCCTGAAATTTCTTTACTCTGTCTTCTTTCGTTAGTCTATTTAGTTCTGTGATGGTATAACTGGAACCTAACATACAGATGCATAGCCCTTTATAACCTAAGCCAATCCACTGGGGTTGTATTTTGGCCAGTGTCAGCTTTAATGCTGAAAGACTATATTTTAGTTTTTGCCTCAGCATTATTATCTAGTATCTAGCTATAAGATTTGTAGGTGACTAACTAATACTCAGGTAAGACTGTAAGTTCATTTTTCGACAGATTCTAGAACTTTGACTCAGGCTTAATAATTACCTAGGTGACTTTGACCATGTTGCTTAACCTTTCTAAATCTGTTCCTTACCTAAAATATGAAGATTATGTTAAGAAATATTTCAAAGATACCTAAACAAAAAAACCAAATCTACTGCCACAGAGTTGATTCCGACTCATAGTAACCCTGTAGGAGAGAGTAGAAATGCCCCATTAGGTTTCCAAGGCTGTAGATCATTACAGAAGCAGACTGCCTCATTTTCTCCTGTGAGGCAGCTGGTGGGTTCAACCACCCACCTCTTGGTTAGCAGCTGAATGCTTTAACCACTGTGCATGACTACTAGCTCTAAAATTCCATTGGAGCAATTTGTCTATGTATAGTGTTATATCCATTTGAGGCAATAGATCCTTTTCATTTTTTTTTTTTTTTTTTTTATACATCTATCAGTCAGGCCTCATTGGACTCTTGCTTGCATAGTGGATTTCAGTGAACCTATTTAAGCTCATTTTTGACAGCCTCATTAGCTTTGTGTAAAGGTTGTCTGGCAGTGCCTTACCTATGGCTTCAGTCTCTCAGGCATAGTTCCTTTTTCTTTTACATTTGGGTAGCACTTGGTTCACCTGTATTAAAGCACTTATATTGTACTGTGATATTTTTGCTGGGGGGTGAGGTCTGTCTTTTCCCCCTCTTGGCTTTCAGTTCTTAATGGAATCACCTTCGTATCTTTGTTACCTTTCATAACATACACACTGCGGTGGAGTTGGATCCTACTAATAGCGACCCCTTCTTGGGTTTACAAGGCAGTATCACTATGGAAGTAGATTTCATAACACATGCAAGGTAGTGTCATTAGGATATCCTTAGAATTCTAACTGTAAAATTGGGTGGCTCTTGAGAACTCCACAGAATCTTACTCGATGTCACTTAAGAGTTGTAAACCTGCCAAATAGGAAGAATATGCAAAGAATTCAGGATAAAATCAAACAGTAAGTAGGTATTTTGTGTCCAATCAAGGGATGATGCAGCCTGGAGGGGGAGTGCAGATTCAAATCAGAGTTGAGAATTAGTGTAACTCAGAAACAAGGAATGTGGACTCAGAAACCACCCGTTTTTGGGACTTAGAGACATTGTTCGCCTAAAAGAAGACTGTGTGCTTTCATTACGATAAGGAAAAATACCCCAGATGTTTAGGAACTCACATCCCCATTCCAAGAAGGTAAATTTCAAATTCTCTTGGAAAGGTAATCTGTAGTTCTTTTGGGAAGGATATTATCTTAGTGGGTAAATATCTTTAACCCCAGGAAGAACTGAAACATAGAGGTAATGAAATAACTCAAGCTTTGAATTTTATTATATTTTGTGTTAAACTTATTTGACATCTTCAAGAATTCAGAGAATAGAGTATATATAACAGATTAACCTTATGGTTCCAATTTAATTGAGTAATTGGTTTAGAATTATAACAAGTTGAAATGTTTAAGAAAACATTTCATCATCTTAAATAGTATTGGAATGTTTAAGACAACTTTGTTGTTGTTGTTATGTGCCGTCGAGTGGGCCCCGACTCAGCGACTCCTCCTTGGGTTTCCGAGGTAGTATCACTACGGAAGTAGGATTGCCCAACCTTCCGAGGACTTTAGATTCACTCTATTTATGGTTTAATTTGTTCACTTTATAAGTTAAATACTTGAGAAGGCTTATATTTACTCATGGAAGTATTTAAAAAGAAAATCAAACAGGTTATTTTTATAGTTTAAAGTTATTAAGGGATTTTAAGTGCAAAGGCTCACTTAAAAGTGGTTATTAAAATTTAGGAGATTTATAAATAGAATAATATGGTTTTTTTAATTGAACTTAAAAGCCTTAAAAGGACTAAGCTTTTGAATTTTAATTTGAAATTGAACATTAATAAACAGAATATGAATATTTAAAGCACAAAAACTGTAATACATGAAAAAAATGAGGCACATTGTAAGTCAGTGATGTTTGAATAACTCTAAAAGCAAGCCATAATCTTTTTCACTTTTTAAAAAATATGTGCTTCAAGATACAAATAATAGTATCTCTTCAGTATCAGTGGCAGGAATTTCTGATGATTTATTACAACAGGATAAGTAAATTGTCTTGTTCGTTTCTAAGTATATTCAAGTATGACTTTGCTTTCTTAATGATTATCTAAAACAAATTTAAAGTAAAGCATGCCCCATTAAGTGGCTTTATGTCTCTGGTGATTGGTTGAATTGATTGCCATGAAAACATCATGAATTCTTAGCTTTATATGCTACTGCCAACCACAGAATGGTTTCCAGATCAAGTCTCCTTCTGCCATTAATCTTAGAAAGTGGTCAGATGCTGTACTCTTTTGGTTTGTTTCGTTGCATTTCTTGTGCTTCTGTTAATATCTGCTGGTCTCTTTTTCCTAAAGGCATATATATAATCATTATGCTCACCCAGAATTCTTTTGAGCTTTTTGCTTTCATACTGTGATTTCTGTATAGTTCCTTGTAGTTGCTTGGTTTTGTTTTTTCATCACAATGATAACTGTAGTAATTATATGGACCTAATTTTGTTTATTGAAGTATTTATACATATTACTCAAATTCCTAGTCTGCTGCTACCAAATAACATTTTTCATTAACATTTTTTACTTCATATTACAGTAAAGGAAACATATTTCAAAAATTAATTTAGAATTTTTTTCTCTCTGCTTATGGTTTGTCTTTTAAAATGATACCTTTTTTTGGTATGTGTATTTTTATTTTTTTTAGTGTCATTCTTCCACTTCCTCAGAATGTGAAGGATTACTTGCTTGATGATGGAACTCTGGTGGTTTCAGGAAGGTAAAGTATATCAGAAAAAAATACTCTTTCACCATTATTGTAAAGAAATGTAATGACTGCATCTTAACTTTTACCTTCTAAAATGAGTAAATTCTTAGCATAGGCACCTTCTTTCCCTTTAGTTCTTCTCATTTTTGCTAGCTAAAATTATGTGCTGATCTTTCTCCCTTATTCCTAGTCAGTGCTTAATAATATTTTCAAGATTTGGTACTTCCCACTCTAATAATTACTAGATATGAAATTGAGCAGTTCCTTTCATCTCTGCCTTTAGAAAATGAGTATGATGGGAACTTTTACTCCTGAAGATGGCAGGGTGGGGGAGCTGTGTGATAGTCCTATGAGATCCTTTAGTTTTTATGATAAAATACTCATTCTTCATTGTAAACAGAAAGCTTTGCTAGGATTTATCATTTACTTCCATAACATTTTGTTCTCTACAGTTTACCCACCCTAGTCCCTGCCCCACTTTCTTTGTTCAGTTAGCTCCCCTATTTGTAGAGTAAAGGGAAGAAGTTATCATTCTCAGTCTTTTTAGTGCAAATTTGAAAAGGCTTAAGAATCACTGAATTTAATAAATTCCTACTTTTTTATTCATGTGTCTGCCCAGAAGCCAGATTATCTGAGTGTTCTTCTTTCACCATCTTTTCTGAAATAGCATCGTTATGCTGGTGCATCATTCTTTATTTCTTTCCTTTGCTGTATTTTTCTGCATAACATTTACCTCATAGGGTTGATGTTAGGATAAGAAGAAATAAAATATAAGAGATAGTATACTAGGCCACTGCTTGGTATATTGTATATTCTTAAGCAATACTAACTACTATCATCACCATCATTATTATAATGTATTGGTAGGAATGAACATTAAAAAAACATAAAAGTAAGTATGTAAGTGAAAAATGCTATGAAGGAAAAGAAAGGGATTGGTGTCACTGACATTGGATGGCTGAGGAGCAGGAGATTGCAGGCAGAGTCAGGAAATTCCCTTTGGAAGTAACTTTTGAGCTTCTGAGATAAGAAGGTTGAGTGGAAGGTAACCAGTTGAAAGGTGAAAGTAAGAATCTTCCAGGCTGAGCAGCATTAGCAAAGGTTCAGAGGCATGGAAGATTGTGACATGCTCAAAAAACAAAGGAAGGGTCATTGTGGCAGGATCATGGAGACATAAGGGGAAAATGGTACAAGATTCATAGTTGGTCAGATGGGGGAGGTGGTTCACTCTAAGGTTAAATGTGTGTGTGTGTGTGTGTGTGTATGTCATGTTAAAGAGCTTAGGATCAGGACAATAAGAAGGTATTGACAATAAGATGGGATCTGAGCAAGAGAGTAACTTGATTTGATTTCAGTTTTAGAAATTGAAGACCAGTTAAGAGGCTCTTTCTTACACTGGAGCAGATGAGACCTTCTAGTAGGTTGAACTAAGATGGTGTGGGGAAAAGTGAATGGGTTTGAGATATTTCTTGATGATGGAAAGGGAAGTATAAAAAATTATTCTCAGATTTCTGATTGAGCAGTTGAGTGAATAAAGATGCCACTGACTGAGATTGAGAAGAATGTTGATTTGAAAAGGATACCCATTTTAGGCTGAATCACTTTTATAGGTAAAAACTTAAAAATTATATGTATGATTTAAATGAGGTACACTTACAGATCTTAAATGAATAGTTCACTAAGTTTTTATAAATATATACATGTATATTTTCACCACCCCAGAAAGGTTCTTTGTACCCTTTTCCAGGCAGTCCTCTTTCCCCCTCAGGCAACAATTATTCTGATTTTTATCACCATAGCTTAGTTTTTTCAGTTTTAAAACCAGAAACCAAACCAAACCTACCACCATTGACTCAATTCCAACTCACAGTGACCCCCATTGGGTTTCCAAGGTGGTAAATCTTTATAGAAGTAGTTGCCCAGTCAGTTTTAGAACTTCATATAAATGGATTCATATAGTGTTTATTCTTGTGTCTAGCTTCTTTAATGCAAGATGTTTATCATGATTTCGTTTGTGTTATACATATTAGTAGTTTCATTTTGTTTAGTATTCTTCAAATGTGTGTTTTTAAAGCTCAGTTTTTGTGTTTGTATGTGTAGGTATATGTACACCCTTTCCTCATCTCTTGATATGGTTAGGTTCCAAAGACCAGATGTTTATGGGAAAATCAGTGTAATGCAAAAATGGAGGATGACTACATCATTACATAGCTGCCAAATTACACCATTACATAGTTTCCATGTTGCATCTTTACATAACTACCAAACCACTGAGAATCATGGCTCAGCCAGGTCGACATATAACCTCAAACCTTCACAGCCAGCATTACTCTTGCCTCACACCTCAGCATTTATTACTTCCAAAGGTGGATCGTTAATGAGTAAAATAGTTGGATAGATTTTTTACTATTGTTGTAAATGCAAAATATTGGATAACAAGATACTCGATAAGTGAAGAGAAGATTCATCTCAGTACATACCTTGCCATCCTAAAATTTTGTTTCTCTGAATTCAGTTATTTGAGTGAGTATATGTGTGTATTTAAAATAGTATTTATAGAATTCCATAACTATATCTATTAATATTTGAAGATTTCAGCCCTATGTATGAAATGTACCCTTGGATTAAGGGATGTACTGTTAAAATTACAAATAAATATAGTAAAGAACTAGACTTAGTGAATATACTTTTTACTATGGGTGCGCTACTAGTGAACTCTGCTGTGTTATTACTAGATATTTGAAATATATCAATTTATCCCTAGTATAAACTATGGGAATATGTATGACTTGCTTTTGTTCGGTAAGATCCATTCTGAAAGAGGTAGAGTAGGGGAGTAATATGAATACTTAGAAATTCTGTCATTTGTAAAATGTGCTCTTTGTTTTTGAGTTACTTTTTAGCAAAAGTATTTGTTCATTATAGTGTATTTAAAATGTACTACAGAAAGGAATAATGACAGAGTAAAAGTCCCATATTTCTACTACCTAAAAGCAATTTTTTTTCATGTTAGCATATTTTCTTTAGTCTTTTTAAATATGTTTTTACCCTAAGTTGTGAGCATGTATGGTTTTATATGATTTTTTGTTGAGCAGTGTAGCATAAGCATTCTCCTATATTTTTAAAATAACACAAGATAATTTTTAATGACGATACAATTTTCATGTATGTATGCATGTGTCATAATTGATTTATTAATGTCCATAGTTGTTAATATTTAAGTGATTTACAACTTTACTGAAAAATAGTGCTTCAGTTAGCATTTTTTTGCATAGAACATTATTTGCAATTAGGATTATTTCCGTAGAAAAGATTCCCAGACTAAGATTATAGGGCAGATAGCTTTCACTGACATAAATTGTTAGTGCACTTTCAACTAGTTTAGTAGAGTACCTATTTCAGAAGATGAAATTCCTGAATTGGATAGTTGCTTTAAGCTTCCAAGTTATTTCTTGTATAGAAGTTAAAAAAAAAGCAGAACAAGTCTCTAAGTATAATTTCATCAGTCTCTACTACCATGAAATAAGTGTGGGCTTTTTGCCGATTGCATTCTAACTTAACCTTAGCCTGCCATCCAGCACCTTCTGTGTTTGTTCCCCGTGTCGACTGGGATGGTTTTGGTTGCAAGTAATAGAATATGCATCTTTAAAACGGCTTAAACAATGAGGCAGATCTATGATTTCACACAATAAGCTTGAAGACATAGCAGCTAAGGGAAAATACAGCTATTTAGTGATGTTAGGATTCTTTCTTAGTTTTCCTCTCCAGAGTAAATGTTAGCAGTGATAGTTCCAAGCATCATGTCCTTCCGAATACAGTCATATCCAGAGGCTGGAATAGATGAATTCTTGTCTCCAGTTCCTTTTTAAGAGCAAAGGAAAATTTCCTACAAGGCCTTTAGTAGACCTCTCCGTTGGTCAGAGTTAGATCATGGTTCCTAGAAAGGAGATGACGTAACCATGATTGGCTTGGACTAATTTATAGTCACCTTTGCGGTTGAGGAGAGGGCCATAAAGCGTAGGAGTGTTTATACCTGAACAAGCTTAGTATTTTTATTAGCAAAGAAATGGAGAAATGGCTGTTGGGTCTCCAGTAGTCCATAATTCTGCTTGCCTTATGGCCCATTAAGGCATTTGGCTGCTAACCAGAAGGTTGGCGGTTCAAACCCATCAGCTTCTCTGTGGAAGAAAGATTGGGCAGTCTGCTTCCATGATGATTTACAGGCTTGGAAATCCAATGTCACTGTGAGGAATTGACTCAGTGGCATGAGTTTGGATTTTGTTTGTTTGTTTTATGGCCCATTACTTTCATATATAGTATACTCCAGAATATAAGCAGTCTAAGATGTTTACAGTTATGACTTAACACAGAATCTGGGCTCAATAAATAATTGCTGAATGAACATAGTTACTTCACACTTTTCTGTGATAGCCTATTCTTAAAGTCAAATGAATAATGTAAATCATAGATGCTAACTAAATTTATCTTGTTTACCACCTCAGATCTATTGATACTGGTTACCTGGAGTGATGTGTTGAGAAGAATTCTGAGGCTGTATCCAGGGTTTGGTGAGAAAGAGTGCTTGGTTTGATTGTCATTGCTGCAGTGAGTATAGGAAAGGAAGCAGGTGACATGCATTTCTGGTATAGATAGTGATTCATTTTCCCTGTACTTTTATTGGGTACTTACTGTGAGGTTAGTGCTAACCTTGATACTGGAATAACAAGATGGGTGGGATATCCTACCTTGGAAGTCCAGGCTTGGCAACAAAGCCAAACATGAAAATAAATACACATCTGAGTGGTAGGTTTTTTTTTTTTTTTTGCACTTTTCTCTTCTTTTTTTATTGTGGTAAAAATATATACACCAAAACATCCACCAACACACCAACTTCTACATTTACATCTTAATGCTGAGTTGTGTTTTAAACAATGTTTTTGGAGTTTAAGTCATCACTGTAAGCAAGGGTGATCCAGAAAGTTTATGTAGTAGAGGTGATACTTGATCATGGC